ATGCAATTTGATGAAAGTATACATTTAAAATATAGGTATAGTAAGTAAGAAATAGATGTTGTAAAAATTCATGATTAGTAATGACAAAGGACTCAAATTTACTAAAACTACAAAAGATTAAGTTTCGTATTTTCTTACAAAAATGCAGACAGATCGTTGATGTTGCTTAATAAAATCCAAACTATTCCGCTTCATTTAACTTCAACATTCAGCGCAGCACAAAAGTTAAACAAATTTTGCAATCGCTTTTATTTAGATAAAATTTACGACTGAAATTAATCGCATGCATTTATTCATCCCGATGTCAAGAATTACTCGGTTCGAGGTTGGAAGAGGTGTACAGGGTATTCATAATGAAATATAAAATTATTATGCAGCAGGCGTCTTGCGTCCGCACGAGAACTAATTTGATCATTGAAATGCATTACACTACAAATAAACTGCATTGACCCGCTGCAACATGCACGGTCCAGCCAAGGAATACGCCGTCGTTGAGATGAGGAGGGTGTTGCATCAGAAGTTCCATCTGAATGCTGAACGGATAAATGTAATGCATAATACAGTAGTGGAGATTTAATATAAATTTTAAATGTGTTTTCGAAAAGGCCGTATCACTGCTTTCCTGCAGAATGCAATTTTAATGGGGTTAACTCAGATTTTACTGTCACGCGGTGAAAGAGGTTTGTTGAATTAACAAAAATCGCAGGTCCTCTTGGTATAGTGCTTTTTTTGTAAGGTTTGCAATGTGGGGTTGTATTAATTGATAATGATTATGAAAAAGGAACCACAATATTCTTCGACATTTGTTTACAACTGATGGCTATTCGATAATTTTTCCAAATCTTTTTTGGTGTGTGGGTGGTGGAAGCTACGGAGAAGCTACACTTTGTATAGCGAAGATAATGATTATATGATGATGATAGACAAAACGCATTTTGAAAAAGCTGATAAATCTTTTTGTTAGTGTTATAATCTGCTCATGATGATAATGTGAATTTTGTTACAGTTGGCGGGTTGATGGATGGATAGATGATAAAGAAGTGTCTGTTTAACTTTCCGCTATTACAAGATGACTTACGATTCGTAGCGAGATATAAGTACATATTAAACAAATATCCATCCAACAAAAAAGTGCTAAGGAGTGGGCTAAAAAAAATTAGGAAAAAATAAATAAATGAATCATGCCACATCATCCCAAAATTAAACACATCTAAGATCTAATCTTGTTCGTGTAATTCGCACTTTGTTTTAGATCCGACACGGATTCTGTGTCATTGTGGTCAGCAGTTCCTAGTGATTCATCAAAAAAAGGTTCTAAATCTTTGGTACTTTTTTAGGAACAAACATTGTCGAGAATACCCAGTCTCTTGCAGATGTTAGAGGTGTATTAAAGTTGTATTTGAATGAATGAATGAAGTTATGGTTCATGTTTCCTTTCACGTATATTTTTTCGTGGTGGCAATAAAGGCAAAGTACGATCAAGCCTATCGCTGGTTCACATAAAATAATGTCACACAAATGACTTTGAGCCCATTAAATCGATTGTCGATAACAGACATAGACTATAACAATAAACAGTGTTGTCATATCCAATTGTTTGAAAGACATAATCTTAACATTGTAGGTTCTTACATAAATCGTTGTTTCCGTTATACGATAAACTATTGATTTATGTTCAGTCGAATGAGGAGTAGACATAATGAATGGGATAATAGTTCGATAAGGAAAAAAACACGCATGCATGTATTGGCGACATAATAGAAAAAGCGGAAAAGAATTGGGTTAATCGGGTAAGTTATCTTTGTGTATATTTAGAGTAAAGGTCAAGGTTAGTATTGATATTGTAATGTTTTATTATAATGTTAGTACGCAGTACGATGTAGTTGAAATGACCATGAAGCTGTGACAATTGAGGGGAAGATCATGACGATACGAATTATCTTAGAATTCTCGTATGATTTCACCAAACAGGATGATTAGGATATTTTAGCAGTGATTTTTTTATCACTAAATTGATTTTTGATAAACCAATGCAACAATGTTTAAGAGTAACAAAGTTACTGTATCTGTGCAAATTCGTAAAATTTACATCATGACTCGATTATTTATATCTCAAAAAATGGATGGTCGATAGGTACAAAAATTCGCATAGACACAATAGCATCTTAATTGACACAAACTTAATAAAAAATATTTCGAATTCTTTGGTGAACTTATTATTAAAATTAAAACTTTTTTAATAGTTGACAATATAACCCATAAATTCTTTAGTGTTTTTTGACAGACTTTTCAAGAAGGTGCACTTAGAATTAAGAACTGTAGAATACACTTTTATACGTAAATAAAGTAAGGACTAAAGTTGGAATCAAATTGTACTCATAAAACTGTCTTTTTTTAAATTGATGCGACTTTTCAAAAATTTTGGTGAAGTATTATACAGAAAAAGAGAAAATATTAATTATATGAATATCGTGTAAGTTGATGGTAGAACGCTAACCAAAATTTGTAGAACGCTAACCAAAATTTGACGACGTCAAATTTTGCCATGATAAATGCTTTTTAAATTTTATACAATAATATGTACATACTCTTGTATATGTGGTTTATAAAGCCGCCTTGATTTTTTACACATGGCATTCAGATTTTCACAAGAAAATAAAAACTGTATAACATTTTGTAGTAATTTAAGAGGAACGCTGACCAAGCCACCTTTTGTTGTTGTTGTTTTTTTTTTATTTAATTTTTTTCTAAAAAACTGGATTTGTGTTATTGTATTGCAGGAATGAAAGAAGTTCTGTTTAATAATATTAATCGATATTCAAATTCAATTACGTTTTCCAAAAATAATTTTTGAACATTGTCAAAGTGTGTATTTTTCTTGTGTCAAAATATGCCACCAAGAAATTTCGTGAAAAATTTATAAAACAAAACGTACAAAAGATGACTGAAAATGCCAATACCTGTTTGCGATTCATTTAGTAGTCTTTTTTTAGTATAACTAAAGAAAAATTGGCTGGATTTTGAATTTTTGAAAATTTTGTTTATTGTTAGGTTAATTCCAATATAGAAAATAGCGACTACAAATGATGCAATGATTTCGTACCAACTTTGATTAAATAAATTCCTCTATATTCTTATGTCTAATGTAAGTATCAACAATAATTAATGGAATTTGATATTTTTCCGTATTTTGGAAGTTAAGATTTTGTTGGGGAGCAATTTTTGACGCTTCAACATCGTACGAATTTTTGATCAACCGTGTCTTGTCAAAATGGTATAACACTCCATATCCAATTTGAGTTAACGTTTTGGTTATCAGTTTCACGAAGAACGATTTTCAGAGTAATATCTTCTATGATACAATCACTGAAATAAGTTATGAGCAAATTCTACAAGTGTTTGTTGTTAAAGTCCATGATAATAAACTTCGGCTTAATTATTTCCAACAATATAATTATCTCACTGTAGGGTCTTTACGTAATTTTTTGACGCATCATAAGGTTCGTAGAATTTTGCCTGGATCAATTGATTTTCCAATCTATAAATGTTTCAAAAATTGCATATTTCGAAGTAATGGATGAAATACAAATTGTTGAAACTGTATTTACGAGGAGAACTACCTTTGAAATGAAACAGGGAAGATTGACAGCATGTGTGTAAATTTTCTATAGAGCATCTCAAAACATTTATTTTCTTGCCGCAATTATAATCAAATTGGTTATGTTTTTTACACATTTTTTTTAGGAAAATGTGAACTAATTATCCAAACAGTACAAATTTATAATAAACTTATAACTTAGTAGAAGTATAATATGCTACATTTACACACCAGTGTAGTGTGTGTTGTCTCTCTATTCTATCGTATTCAAATAATTGATTTTTATTTCAACAAGGCGGCAAAAGACAAGAAACGTTTGAATCCGCAGCACATCACGATGATATAACAATTGTTCATAGATATTGCGTAAGTGAGGAAAAACACCGGTGATATGCGATCTATTTTTGGCAGTCTAAAGAGATTTTTTTAAAGTCCAATTTTACTGTAATTGTTGCAATGATAATTACCGTAATGTTGTAAGTTAGTCAACAAATTCTTTGCTTATTATTTCTGTAATACAAAAAATAGTTGACCTGCTATTTGAAAAGAAATGGGAACTAGAAGTATGTTTTCTTCGTAGTTTTGAAGAAGGTAAGATATATATAGTAAAGTTACAACTTTATAGGTAATAGAACGGCAAGCATAAAATAATAAGTAAGTTGATATAAAAAGCAGTAAAAATGTAAGGAAGACATTTTTTTTTTCTTTCATTGAATGACATTAATTTGCTTTGGAACCTTTTTGAAATATAGTCAGCATATATTTTTTCATATTCAGAATTATTATGATATGAAAAAAGACTCGAAGATTGAAATTAATTTTGATTCCATTCCATTCCTTTGATTTTTTGGTGCTTATGTATTATTAAGTGATTACAAAAAGATAATTCTAGAAAGTTGCTTTAAACTTTTTTGAGTTCATTGTTCTGTCTCTTCTTTTACAAAAAATACTACTTTGATCATTTATCTCCTCATAAATTCAAGCTGAATTTGTTTGGATCGCCAGTACGTGGGATCTTATAATAAAACAAAATGTAATCAAAGAAATATCGTCTAGAAAGCACAACCCACTTAATATATCACATTTCAGTACAAATCAAAATTAAAGTGTACGGATGGGACGATATTGTTACATAGATTTTTTTTAAATTACCATCTTTTTATATAAGTCTTGCACTTGTTTCCACTTATTCTTCCGTCCTTATTTTCGTGAGGTAATTTTTGAAACAGTTCCCTTTTTTAGTCTTTTCTTATACTTCACGCAAGATTATTAGTATCGTGAAAACTTGATAATTTATCTAATATGGTCTAAAAATTACAACAAAAGTACTATTGGACGCAAATTTCTAACATCAATGGGTAACACATTTGTATCGCAATTCAAAAATCTTGCAAATACTCACGAGTTATGCGTAGAGTTGGGCGTCGACGACGGCGTCGGCCTCTTCTCTTCTTTGATGGTGCTGTTGTGGATTTTGGAAGTGAGCCTCTTGAGCACGTCATCCATTGATCTTTTCATAGGATGCGAGGAACTATTGTTATTGTGTAAACTACTGTTATTGTTATTGTAATGTAAGCTAGTCTTTAAATCGGAAGTGGGCGAACTACACTCAGACGAATTCCGTCGTCTTTCGTCTCCGTGCAGCGAAAGCGCCGAGATGCCCGACGGCATGAGCACGTTGCTCGGCGCCTCTGAACACATTCGAGCCGTTTTGCTTGGGGGCGGCGTCCGGTCTTCGTCGATGCCGTCGTCTACTTCGCTGCCTGAAACACTCGGAGATGACGATTCGGAAAGTTTATAAAACGCGCTTGTGTTATTGACCATCGTGCCGCTTCCGGCGCCGATGTCTTCTTCGCCGACGTCGCTCAGATTGTTGCTGCTGGTTTCGTCGAGGTCCGTCAGGCCACCCCCGTCGCTGCCACTGCCCACGATCGTCGGGGGCAGCGGGGCGCCGCCGCCGTCCGTTGAGCCTTCTTGAAGCTTCGTTGGAGGACTCTTCCGCTTCGAAGACATATTTCTGCAACAACAGACACTCGGTTAGGACATGTCACACTCAGTGTTAATTTATCAGTTTCTAAATTAAAATTGTCATCACAAAGGCGCTGTAAGTTATTTTGCCCAGTCAAGGAAGTCGTCATTGTCTCACTTTTCTTTTACAGCGAAATTTTTTTTTCATTTTTTGAGAGGTATGCGAAATACTCATGGACATATCGATGAAGAAATCTGTCAAACATCAGGACCCATATTTGTTTGACACACATTTTTAAATAACATCTAATAACTTATGTGACAGTCTCGCAAGTCCGGATCTGCGTACAGTTTCTAGAGTCCCCCACATTTTGTTGTTGGAAGTGTAAGTCGACTCTTATTTTCTTTATTCTCCATAATGTTTCTCATCTTTTTTTTCAGCTTATATTGACATGGTAACAACTAGTTTGCCGGATATAGTTATATTGGTTTTTTGTCCAGGCACATTTCTGTCTATACAAAAAATGTTGACGGTTCAGGCTCACGGCGAATCCAAAATTTTCAAAATCACGGAAAAATATGAGTTTGGCACTTATACAGGATTTTTATCAACAATTCTAAGGCAATCTACTGTGATTAACCACAAGAAATTTGTTTCTTTTTATTGTAATAAATTAGTTTTATTTTTTAGTAAAGTTTGAAGAATTTATCAGTTATAGAGATGCGTGTGGTATCTGTCGTGAGTCCTTGGGTATTTAGTAAAATTGCATAAAGTGATAGGCGGCACGCTTCCATGACGTACTCCAACCCTATAATCATCTATCGAAACCCTATATATGTTGTATGTATTAGTGAGATAGACTTTGTTTTGATCTGTAACTTCCCAATGTTTAAGATTCTAACTACCTAAACACGGAAAGAATGCGTAAAAAGAAATTTTAACTTTAGTTTTCGGTGCGAGTCGCGGACCGTTTGAGAACCGCTGACGTTTCTCAATTTTCGAGAGGGAGTTTTGTTAATTGGAAGATTGGTCAGAACATAGCGACAAATGGAAAGCCGCGGCCTCCAACGCTTTTATTGTCGTGTTTGACTTTAGCCCCAATAAAAACGCGAAATTGTGTACAGAATTCCCGAAACCTAAACAAATCGCCTTTAACAACCTGACGACGAATTTATTATAACAAACTTATTTAGCATTTGTTTTCACTAACTTTTTACAATCGTGTTTAGACGATGAAACATAAACTGTTTGAACAAAAGTACCAATTATTATCTACACTTCATATACTCGGCGTTCCCGGAATAGACGACATTGTGGTTGGAAAAAAAAACGCCATGTAAGTTTTGACACATCGTAATCATAAAATTAAACGCGCAGTGTGTTAGCAGGAAATTTGGTAACATTGTTATCGGGTGTTAAAAACAACGCACTCAAATAAAGTGAATAACCAAGTTGTATATGTTTGTGGTGGCGTCAGCGTTCTAAAAAATTGTTTAGAAAGTAATCAAAACGGTCACTATATGTATATTATTAAAATGTAATAATAATGTTAATAATAACAATAATATTATGGGATGCAGATACAAGACGCACTGTTTTACGATTCTCGAAGTGTACGTCAGCAAAAAAAATGACGTTCCGGTTTTGAAACAATGATTACAATTCGATCTGATGGATTTGGGTACAAATCAACAATAAGGGCCAAAGGAAAAGTTACAGATTTGTCACACCAAAAAAAAAAAAACGGTTTGGGTCATTTTTCACTATTTCAGAACCGGAGCTACAGTTATATACTATAATGACAAATATTCGTTCGAGATGAATGTGAGTCTTCGCCAACTTTAAACATGGTATTTTTTTTATTCGTGGCCGTGGCTGTTTGCCCAGGCTTTGGTGTAGAACGGGAAAATTTGCACTGTTGGTAATTGTGTATGTCGATAGGAAGTGGAGTATATAATATAATTCAAAATTTGTTATTCCATGATAGCTGTGGTTCCATTTGTAGCTAATAGCGTAATAAATCTCTGGACGGGTTTCAGGTAGTAAAGGCGCAATTACACTAGTCCGTTATTTGGCGGATCCGCCCGTAATATAATAAATCTTTATATCTGCACTTTCGTGGACGCGTATTTTTCATTAACCCGTTGTCTGGCGGGCCGGTCCGCCAAGCAATAAATTATGTAGGCCCGATTTAAATTTTTTCGCCTATCGAGGAAGTAGTTAGACACATTTTACGTTTTATCAAGTGCTTCCACACAAATGATTCAACAGTGTTATTTACACAATAGATGTTTACTGCTCTAAAAAAGTAAGTCATCAGTTCTGCGGGTTCACATCTGTTCGGAGGCATGTAATTAAATTTTATTTGGGAAAGACAACCTGCTTGTCAATTTCCGCAAGCAAATAACGTGGAATTGCATTAGCCTAAGGCCGCGTGCAGGTCCGACCGCATGTCGCGCGACAATCTGTTGATTTCTTGAGAGGATAATTGGGTACGACACGGGGTCATGACATTATCTTACTATAATAATGTAATCACAATCTAAATTTATCATTATTCAGATTATGCTAACCGGACAACGTGCAAGCGGCGTGAAACGAATCACGCTCATGTTAAACAAAAAAAAAAACCAATAATGTATTATTTATAAATTATTCGTTATGTAATCTTAATGTGTCAGATGGGCTGGGAAAGTACCATTCGCGAGATGTTCCACCGGCTGCTGTCAGTCTGAGTCAGTCAGAAAGTTTGATCACCCAATAATGACCCGACTAAACGCATTCGTGATCGTGAACCATAAGAATTAAAAATGGGAAGAAGAATATTGACCTCACGCAGGCATGGCCAAAACACAAAAAACTTGCTAAGAAAAGAGCTTCCGAGGAATTTTAACTATACACAACAACGAAAATTGGTTTCTGGGGTATTGTTTTCATTAAAAAATTGAGTCCATTCCAACCTGTCCGCACCTATTAATTAAGAATAATGCGAAAAGAATATTGGAGCAACACAGTGTAAACCGATAACGAATGGCTGACATCATTCTACATCGCTGTTAAACGAATACATTTTAAACAGTAATCTAATTATTATCATATGATACTACAACGTGGCGATTCTTATTTTGCGCCCACACAAATGTCTGCTTAATTAACACATGGCGATCAAATAGACAGATCTATACAAACAAGATTTTTTTTGAAAAACAAATTTTAAGCGATAATTGTTTCGAAGATAAGCGTGAAGGTTTTAAATTATTATTAATTAATTAATAATTATTTTAAATTAGTTTGTTGTCTTACAGTTTCACTAAGTTATAAAATCTATAGGTAATTATCGATAACTTGAAATATGAGTTCTCAGGTATTTTTAAGTTTCTGAGGTAACATCTTAGCACGAAAATTGATAAGAAATCTTTTTTCATTTTTCAGTCTGGCGAGTCTTCCATTTAGTAAAAATCGTACTTTTTCGTTCTTTTATCGTCTAGAATAGCCAGTGAGCTCCCGCCAACGAAAAATCCAGCCCGGCCTTTCGAAATAGTTGTCTTGTGTGCGTGTTTGCTTGAAAGATCTGAATTGTTTCGAAAACAAAACACGGAGTGAAAATAATACATCCAGCAAGACGCGGACGTGTACAAAAGAAGATTCCTATTCTTGAATCCGGATCGCTGCCAACTAGATATACTGACGTATGAATTAGTCTTTAGCAAAAAACGAGAAATCCGGGCACTATATTTAACGGACAATTCGCCGGGTTTGTATTAAAGAACAAAAATGATTCCATGATCGTTGGTTAATTATAGCTTCGGAATAGGCAAAATGATAATGACGGCAACACGGAAGACGTCTTCGTTGTGAAATTAATTTATACAATTACACAAATATAATTATCGAACGAGTTGAGGAGATACCGTTGCATTTCTTGTCCACACATGCACGGAGAGGCTGACTAAAGCACGATTCCACTCAAAAAGTTGTGAGAAAAAGTCGGAGGTGTAAAAGCACCTTGTAATGGAAGCACCTGAAGTGAGCTGTAGCGTGTGATGAGAACGCAAAAAATTATGTAAAATAGATAAATCTTAAGAACTCTTGACAGTTTAGATTTACTAGAACAGTGCTATTTACATAGTTGTAGAACTAAATTAAAATAATTTGCTCATATACTTTCTAAAGCTGTCTGCAATTGTTCAGCAAAGAAACTCATAAAACACCGTCATTTTTAATGTGTTGTAAAATGCCGCGGATTTTTAGAAAAATTCCTGTTGTAAATTATGTAGCGGCACTTTTTGATAGTAGTGCCCGCTGCAATAAATGTGCATTATGAAGTTGAACCCTTCTCACTAGGGAGTCTATCATAAAACTTTTATCATTTTATGTTATGTAGGTACTGTAAATAGTCAATTTTATCACATTAGGTACTTTATAGCTGATACTGTCCACAACAGAGAAACATCGAGGAGAACATAAGCTAGCACTAACACCAACTTTAGCACGAAATTTGTAAAATTTCTACGTAGTCTTTTCAAGTTTTAAGTATATTGTGTGACACATTTTGAGTAGTACTGATATGTAGTGGACTTCGCAATTAATTGCGTTGGGGGGAAGTGACATTCTGGTGTAAAATTTGGTCGTTAATCCAAACTCAATTTTCGGTCAGCTGTCCATCTCGTAGTCCCGAATTTAGCTCAGGTTTGGTCCGAGGAAATAATTCCATCTCCTTGTCGGTAAATGGAGGAAATGAAGGCGCTCCCGGGCCGGGGAAGCCCTTCAAAAGGAACTAATTAAAAGTATCGTTCCTCTCTCACCTTAATACTTAATTATACGAAAACAGGGCTTATTGTGAAGATGAATTTTTAAAAGCTTTATTGCTCTGAATAATGCAGCATCCGTGAAAAGAAAAAAAGCGCCCTGACTATAAACGCATTTATGAGCTTAATGATACATTTTTGTGAAACACGCTTTGGTCTATAGAAAATATAGAAATGGCAGTCGCCAGTCGTATTGATTGGAAGCGCGCGAGCAATTTTAGACGCGACACAGCAGGGAAA